AACGGATGTTTATAATCCAATGGGACGATTTCGATGTTTCAGCTCCAAGGAATTTGGTATTCATTGATGTTTGGTTATACGATGTAATAAAGATTGTACTGTCAGTTCCAACTGCGTAGTATTATATGAGAATTTATTTCTTTTTAAAAGTTCACTATATTATTTATATTTAAACTTTTGTGACTATCACTGTGCGACGGATATCTTTTGTTTTACTAACTGTAGGTTTCTGAAACCAAAATATCTGTAAAAAAATATTGTTACTCTTATCTTCGATCTTTGATAAAACAGTATATCTGTTAATGAATATACTAAATGGGGATTTTGGTTTTAGAAATCCACGGTAAAAATGGTGTAATTAACGTTGATATCAAATTGTTCAATTAGATTTTTAAGTGATGTAGAAGGAATCATTTAAAGTAAAACAATGAAAGGCAAATGACAATCAATTTAAAGATGATAAGAAAATAAAGCGAAGGTAAATTTCAATGGAGCCTGAATATTGGACACACGCAATTGTGATGTGTTGTGCGTTACTTTTTGTCTAAAGCTGAGTATACACAGAGTCACATTATTAGAATTGTTTTGATGTGTCGTACAAAGTAAGTTTTAAAAAATAAGTTTAGTCTGAAGATTCATAAAACTTAGTAGCGTTAAAATACAGGTAAAATATAATTATTCTACATGTATTTTAACGTAATTATTCTAGATTACGACTTAAACAAATACGCTAAAAATTGAATAAAATGGGCTATAATTGTCTATTTCAATCTTTTTTGTAGACATCTCATTCATTACATGAAAAAACTACACTGAATCTATATAATTGTTTCTTTTTTTGTTCAGTTTTCTTATGAGTTTTAAATTTATATTAATTCTGGTCAGTATTTGTGATCACGGCTTTACAGATGATGGCGGCGGGCACCATTAGGTCGGTGTAGACGCGTGAGAACTGGTGCGGCGGTCGCGAGGTTAGCCTAGGTTATGTTAAACTCAGTTTCCTTACGATATTATAGAAAACTTTAGTTTATAACACTTTAATTTTGATAAAACTATATATTTATGTGTCAGGAAAAAAATAGAGTTGAACTTTTTAATTCTTGAAAAAAAAAATTTACTTTTTTGCGTTTTTCTTTACAATTAAAAAGTAACAATTGAGTATTTCAAGAACAGAGTTTGTCTAATTTTAATATTCTAAGTTTAAGTCTAAGTTTTAATATCGCGAGTTACGTTATTTCAAACCGTCTACAGACAATATTTAATCAACATATAACAATCTACATCTCCATATACATATACGAGTATTGTAAGTCAAATTATTTACAGTGATATGGATTGCTTTTTATTAATATAAATTAGATGCAATAAGAACATTCTAAAATATTACTTTTAACACATTTCTAAACAAAGAAATATTAATATAATTGAGAAATATATGAATGTAGCAAATATTTTGCGTTGTCAATTTCAAATATCAAGATAAAAATAAATAAATCAATGTGAAAAAATATTTGTAAATTGGAACAATGTGTTGGATGAAATCTAAATCATAAAATGTAGGATCAATATATCTAACAAATTAGTTAATCAAGTTATTTTATTGTGTTATTTTTATTCATTGAGAGCCCAATTTTATTTTATTAATATATTCTAGATTTTAGTTTTTATAATTGAAGGGGGCAAACGAGCGGCGAGAACACCAAGGTGATCAACGACACCCATGGACAACTGCAACACCAGAGGAACTGCAGATGCGTTGCCGGCCTTTAGTTAACTATATCATCAGGGGCTTGGAGCCTACCCTAAGATACAGGTGACTAAGTCATAGTCAACCACACTGGCCTAGTGCGATTTAGTTGTGTTCACAAATATCTCTAAATTTCTTCGTGGATTTGTGTAGGTTGCATTACAATGCTTTTCCTTCACCGTAAAAGTGTCGGATGTACATATGTTAATCGGAAATCGAAAGCACGTTTTTAGATGGCGGTATTCGAACCCAGGACATTACAAATCAAGTACTTAACCCCTGAGCCGTTATAATTTTTTTAATCGACTGTAAAGCGTAAAAATGTAAATTTGGTGTAAATTCTTGAAGGTATAATGACGATACATCTTATTTAAATCTAATTTAACATTGAATAAATGTAATTTAATGTCAATAGTTGTTTTTATAGTGACGACGGAAAAATGTCTTTGATTCAAGTTAATGGTTCAACTATCCAGGTATCTGTTAAGTAAACAGATGCGAAACTTGTGACGGGATAATTTACTTAACGTCACTTAAGTGTGTATTGATTTAAGCGCTTTAAGTTGCATTTACTAGTCCAGGTTGGTCAATCAACATTCCTTAAACATTCCCTTAAGACTCGACATCCAGTTCTGATAAAGGTACCTTTATTATATATACTATATAAATTAAATACATATATACACGAATATATAAGATTTTATATCCAAGCGCATATTGATTTCAAGTTTCCCTTAGTGTATTGTGTTTATAAAATATTTGTCAGTTTGTGGCAACCTTTTTCATCGATTTTATTACCTTCAATTACTTTGGATTAAGGTTGGTTACTATACTACGTATGTTCGTTATATGTAGCGTACATTCATATGATAATGATTATATTTTACTATCGACACAAAACAAAAACATAACGATCAAATTTCGACAGTCTGAAGTGAAACTGCGCAAAGAAGTGATGTCGCAAGACGATAATTTGTCGGCAATTAGTGACTGAAAAGCCTTTTGACATCGTCAAAAACATCTAAATGTTTCAAAAGTTGAGTATATTGCTCGCTAATTTGTGAAGGGTTTAGTACAATAGACATTTAATAGTTATAGGAAAGCATCGGCTAAAGATGTTATTGTTAAAACTTAAAACTTGAAAGCAAATTAAAATTATCATTGGCTTTAACTTAGTTTAAAACTTTGACTTAACTTAGTAAAAGTAAGTTAATTTTAATAACTCATACAAATATATGGTTTGCGCAAAATCAACGTAATTACAAGAATAGCGGATATAGCCGTTTTTATCTATTAAGTACAAAAGTACGAATATAAGTATCTAAAATTAAGGACTATATATTTATGGCTAAATAAATTTATAAATCTATATCTTTCAGGATATTTTCCACGTCAAATATTTTCCACGGGACATATCTCCATACGATATAATGACTCGCGGGATGTTATTCTTTTCTAGTCGCGGGTCGAAACTCTTTTGTTGAGTACACGCAAATTTTCTTTGATAACAACTCTTTGTTAACAAATATATTTATAACATTTGTATGATGAACATTACCTTATTATTTATCGTTTAATATCCAGGAAACACACAACCTTATTAGCGAGTACTAATCACTTAAATGCGCAAAATCAACTTTAACTTGAGACGTGTCTAAATTAGTGCTTTTTGTCATTTGATTATTGTCATCATTGTTCTTTGTGGCGAGCCTATATATTGTGCGCGTACATACTTTTTGTCCTTTACAAAGATAAATATGTGGGAATGATTCCCACGCGTTATTGTTTCTCATATAATATCTCTTTTTTATCTTTAGGTTTTTAATATCAACGTCAACTATTACGAACATAATGGTCAATTGTTCAATTGAATTTCGATTTTCAAATGGGGTCAGTGCGACACGCGAGTGCATTTATCATTCATTGATTTTGATGTTTTTTTTATTTTTGTTTTAAAATATATATTTCAGCTGCACTACAGCTACAGATTTTATGTTATATGTCTAATTTAACTTTAAATAAATTAAATAATTGTATAGATACGTTGTTTATTTTAGCCGTCGCTTCTTTGACATATTTTAAATTTAATATCGTAAATTCAATTAGGAAAACTATATCCACATTACTCCGTAACATATTTTAATATTCGAGTGTAATTACATCATTCTTAGTGTTTTTTTTTCATATGAGAAAGATAAATCCATGAGCTTTTTGTGTCATCAGGCGTATAACACCAGTTGATATGACACTATAGTTAACACGTTTCATTTTGAAATACTTCGTACATATAAATATTCAATGTTTTAGTCCGGCGGAGGAAATCACTCATTGTAGGAGTAAATACTGTCGGTTTAGTAACGAGATATTTAAATAAGGAATTTTGTAGATATTACTAGTATTTATCTCTATATATATGCTTCTTGCTTTTGTTTCTTTTCCCTAAAAATACATATCATTCTTTGATTTCTGTACTGTTAATAATTCTTAAAAGTAAATTGTGTTAATCGCTATTATTACAATCGTTAATCCTAAGATGTTGTTTGATTAAAAATTTTAGTTCATATTACTAAAAAGGATTACAGTAGTAAGCTTAGAAACTTTAAGAAAGCTTGCTAAAGTTCTTGCTAGTATATTAGTACTTTTTGTATTTAAATGTTAAGCTTATTTTAAAATTACTTCTCAGCTTAAGTATTACTAAAGATGTAAGTAGGATTATTTAAGTGTAGGTTAGTTAATTGTTAATTTTAAATAGATTAAGAGTATACGTAGTTAATCTACAAAATCCTAGTACTCTTAAACAATTTAAATGGAAGGTATTTTGCGACTGTGAAATATTTACTTCGATGTCGCGTCGTTTATGAAATCGGAGGGCGGATACTCGTTTAAGTCTTTTGTAAGGCGAAAAGTTTAATAGTTTTTCTTTCGTTAAATTTTATTTAAATTTTAATCTGAACAAAGTTTTCGAACTTGCGTGATTGAAAAGCTATGAATAAAAATTGCTCTAAACAAAAATAATGTGACGGTGTGTAAAAATGTTCTCCAAATACAATTATCATGTAAACGCCAAATATTTTTGCGCCGCAGTCGAAATTAAATATGTTATGACTTTTTCTTTTGTAAGGAGATCGATAATTATTCTGGTTTTAAAATCGTGCGGTTTTCGGACGGACATCGGTCGATTTGCGTCAGTCCTGAGCAAATAAGAACCAAATTTAGGGTGCGATATGGACGTGTTAAATGCCAAATAACATACCTTTACTGCTTTGTATAATTTCGACGAAAACAAAATAAATCACAGCTCCCGTTGAAAATCCCACAAACACACAACACTGAGTATTTCGGTAATATTTTCAAAGTCAATATCCGACTTGCACCGGCCGAGCGGCGAGTACACTCCGCGCCTCAATTAACAATACTATCGATTTCAAAATGTCACAATACAGTCACTTTCATGCGAACAAACAGATGTGTCAGCATGTTTCATTTACAGGAAGGCTCTAACTGAAAACTTAAACTGAAATCGCGCGTGCACTCTGTTAAATTTATTGTCTCTATTTGTTCTGTTGACACATCGTTTAGCGGACTTTCGGTTGCGGAATGCTCCAGTCTAGTTTGCGAGTCCCATTTGCTTTACTTTGGGTCGTGCGATCGATTCCATTTTCGTGAAGATCGAACGCGGACGACGTGTTGCTGCGGCGGCGCGCGCGCACGAATGCTCGCTCAGGAGGATGTTCGCTTGCGCCCGGCATGGAGGCGTGGTTAAATTCTAACGCAACTTGGGTCTATACTATTGTCTCCGTCACTCCATATGTTTATTTCATCTATCTGTCTCGCTCTCTAACGTCGTGCGCTATGGTATAGGTATGGTTGGTGGTGGGACAGCGTGAACTTTGCCACTGCGCGCGCGCAGCTCCGATGTCGATTAATAAAACTATACGTTATAGATCGAGACGTGATTGTTTAACGTAACTTCAATACGTAGCGATAGCAGAGGTTTACATTTGAAAATCTTAATTCTATTTTTTTTGTATATATTATTTTCTACATTAAAAATTTTATGCTTAATTTCAATAATTAAAAACCTTTTTAATTATTGATAATTAAATATTGATTTTTCACCAACAAATACTTTATGACGTTGGATTATATTTGTCGCATTAATTACTTATATTTCTATACATATATTGGGCGAATAACAACATTGATAAATTAAAACTAGGGGTGTCCGAATATTAATATTATATCGAGATATACAATGAAAATTTGAAAAATATTCGCACATCCCTAATTAAAACCTTTTTAATTATCGTCAACTGATCTGTCATTTCAAAACTATCTCATATTAGTTATAGTTATTTATATAATTTCATGTATAATTGTATAATTAAAAGTGAATGTACGAAGTTTACATATCAAACGTCATTTAACAAAACCATAGTATTCTTTAAACTAACAAAAGCCGTGAGATTGTTTATAATATTAAAATTTTCGTAAACATCAGTCAGATGTAATCATATTTATTGAGAACAACTAATATTTGATGACTAACGGATTTAATGAATAAATCAATGTTTTATTGAATACATAATATATAAGAATTATCCCACGCCTCAATTAGTCCGTACAAAACGAGTTACAAGATCGTTGATGTTTTTTGTATAGAAATTCTATCAAACATTTAAAGTTGACTGTCGTCGTTGATATCACGATTTTACTTATAGTACTTATACACTGGTTCTTTATGAACGAACTAGCTCTCCCTTGCGACTCCGTCTGAATTAAAAAAAATAATTAGTAGCCTATGTGTTCTTGGTAGACTATGCTCTACATCCATGCCTATCTTCATTGAGATCCATACAGCCGTGCTGGAGATACTTTAAAACAAATGCATCCATCTAAACATTCGTATTTATATTAGTAAGATTGACGAACAAACATTGACTATATAAATTTACCGATGGTTTCTGACACCAAAATGTATAAAACATATCATCCCTGTCCTTATATTTAAAAAATAGAGATAACAATATATTTTAAACGGGTATTTGAGTCTCTGAAACTTACGGTTAGAGATATGTAAAAATAAATTTTACTGAATAATATCCATAATGTCTTATTCCTTTTTTATAATCAACAATTAAATTACATTTGATGTTGCTACTTTCTAAAATCTTCCAAATTAACATAAGGAGTAATAAAAGAAGGTAACTTTTCTAGTGCGAAATCCAATTCAGCAGCAAAATAAAGAACAAAAAATATGTTACAAAACAGTTAAGGTTATAAAACAAGACTCTTTCAGTTACCCTTCCTAAGGATAGTTTTATTAGTTGCAATTTTTAACAATAGCAATAATTACGTAACTTAAGTTAATTGTATAAAATAACGGCCCAGTTTGTAGCGTTGTAAAAGATTTTTTTTGTCTAATTAGTCTATGTTTTCTTTACACGTTTAAGCGTATAACAGTAACAAATTGCAATAGAAATAAAAAATTACATTCGCTAAAGTTTTGATATCTGTTTTGGTGTTATGAAGTTGGTTAAAACTAAATTGAAGTTATTGTAACTTAAGAACTGATAAAATAATTAATATGTTGTGCAGTCTAGAACAAACATTTTTTTTGTAATAATTTTAGATACAGGATGTGATATTAATATTAATTTGCTAAAGTCTAGATAACTTTCTTCTCTTTAAGTTAGCTTTTTATAAAAATTCTGTAAAAAGTTGTGATGATTGTTATTTTCAGACTGGCTCAAATAATACATGTTTTTTTTTTTAATATTATACTAAAGTTATAAAATAATTAAAAATCGAAATCATTTGTTAGACCGTTATACAATAACAATGGTAACAAACTATTTGTTAAAAAACATTTACGTATCCCCAATAAAAAATCAAAAAACTTTGCAAACGTGCCGCCATGCAAAAAAGATTCGCAGAAAAGAAATTTGCGCAAACAAATTTGTTAAGGTAAAAGTAAGAAAAAAGTTAAATTTGAATTGTTTTATGAGAGAACAGTTTTACTATAGTTACTGTTTCAACGGGAATTGACGTTTTTTAATGCTCGCCGGCCGGTTTGGGCCTGCCCGCTCCGACACGGCGAGCGCCTCTGACGTCACGCCCGTTATCGTCTAGGTAGCGGACCGTTAGCCGATCATCCCCTGTTTAGTGACTTTAAAAAGGTTTTTTGTGTAAAAAAATTATCATTATACTTTCCACGTTTATTTAATAATATAATAGATGTTGTAGAAATATTAAATTACGTTTTTTGAATCTTATTGAAATAAAAGCTAAAAATTAGCATTTGTTTTCTATTACTCGAACTAATTTACTCATGATTGTATATTCCATGATATTCAAATCAATTTAATGCGCTGACTTTTGTATATTAAAGGTCAATTTTGTTGAAGTAGATTAATATAGATTTTATTTCTTTTATGTTTATTAATTATTTCCCAGAAAACGTGCAAAAGATTTATAGACCATAACACACAATTTAAATTGCTAAGAAGAATTATAAATAAAATTATATAAATTAATGCATATAAAATATAATTTGTTACATTTAAAAACATCTATCAGTACCTAATTGCCTTCGATTGGAAGTAACAAGTCGGTTATAGACCGGTACAAAGATAAAGTGAATAGAGATGTGGCTCGAGCCTATACATCTAATAGAAGGCGACATTCTATACTTTTTTTATACAAAAAAAATAAATCTATTTGGTCCATAAATCTCTGCGGTCAGATTAGATCTCGTTCGTACATCTCAATTTTACAGTAAATTTATTAGTCCGGCTGTACGTGTGTCGCGGCGCATATTTATTGATCAGACTGTACCTAAATACATCGTTATACCAGATAATACTTACCGAATGTATTGAGTAACGGGGTTTTTTTTAATATTTATTACTATTGTTTTGTTTGTTAAGCGTGTGATGAAATTAATTATGTGGGTTCTTCTCATTATTTTTATTTAATTAATTTAAACTCAAACAAATGCAATTCTAAACATACATGATTGAAAGAGATGAAATATCGCAGAAATTAATAAAGAAAATTTGAATTGCTAAAACAATGACGACTTATTTGAGAATTAATCGTTGGTTTCTGAGACTAACATCTCCGTTTAAAACATGTTGTCTCTGTTTACTCAGAGATAATGACAGGGATCACGAAATGTCTCAGAAACTCACAATTAATGACTTATGTGTACTACATTAGTTAACTATTAAAATACAATTTGTTACATTTTTTGTAATAAATATTCAGACATTTGTTAACTTTCTTCGAACTGAGTAGACCAGTATTGTGCCAAAATTATCTTGATAATCGTTACCTCATAATTGTGAGGTTATTGCGAGGCAGAGCACGTGCATAGTTTTGACACGTGTCTACCAGGAAACTGAGGACATCGGTCCCACCGCGTGTCCACAACACCCATTAAAATCTTCATACAACTTTTGTATGTATAACATAGAAACATGCATGAGCGTTAATTCGAACACTAATCGTAGAAAAAAATCTTTAATTTCATTCACTATTCTAAAGAACAAAAATCGACAATTTATTTAGAAATAAATGATTAAAATATTTTTCTTTTAAGTAGGATTCTGGCTTTTATTTTGTATGCGGCCATTTATTCAAACATTTTCTTCTCTTTACAAACATATTTTCGAAATTCAAAATAACATCTAAAAAGTATCTTTAAATTTCAAGTTAAACATCTGGTTTAGCTTAAATTATTATATTTCTATAATCTGTGTTGGGTTTGTTAACTTAAATGTTTAAGCACGTCTAAATATGCGGTTGAAGTTAAACCCTTACTAACTAATCCATTTCGGTACATTAAACCGAATAATCCATTTGGGTAGAAACAGTTTTAGGCTAATTCTCGCTCTTTTGGGAAGTCTATTAAAGATTAAACTGGACCAAAATCCATTTAAACATCATTATCTCTAATGAATTCAAACGAAAATTGTTTGATGTCACTATTAAGTCATATTTAAACGTGTCTGAGACCAAAGACTCCATTTAAATCATATTGTTGTCTCTATTTTATCAAAGATAATGACAGAGATGACGATATCTTTATACATATATTTTGGTCTCAGAAACCCGCGGTTACTCTATACTAGCGCACTGACATATTTTGATATTAAAATAACATAATAAAGAAAATAGGTAACTACAAAATCTATTAATATTGTGAATAATTTATATAAGAAAAATACGCTCTGGATTTTAATATAATTTATGATATTAAGTTTAGGGAACCCTAAATTATTTTGCTTTGAATTAACACGTTTCGAGTCAGATATCGTTTGTATATACTACGTTTAGGGTCTGTTAATCCGATACCGTGGTACTTTAGGGAGCTCACAGCGATTTATGTGGACCGGCGCGCTTGATTTACACTCTACTAGACGCCAGCGCCTGAATGGAAGCGGGTTTGATGACCTTTACTACGGCAATTTAAAAAATGTCGCCATTTCAATCTATGATATGTCACCATGTTAGTGGTTAGTTTAAAACACATTGCTTCCTGTGTACGTGATATGTTTTGGTAATTATAATTAAAAGTGGCAATGTAGTATTCGCTGTTTAATAGTATCGTATCAAGAGGCGATGCACGTAATTTCTAGACGCTGGTGGCTAGACCGACGTCGTGATTGGTGGGATTTATATTGTAATACTATGA